TTCAGGTTGGCAGGACAAAACCAGAGCTAGTTCTGTTACAATTTCCTCCTCCAAATTTTCTTGGGCGTTTTCAGCTATCCCTCTTATTCTCAACGCATGTTCCATTTCTCTGAATTGAGACATAAGAATCTCATTCTGATTTATATCCGTATTTTCTTCCACTTTGCCCATTCTAAATTCCATCACTTCAATATGCTCCTCCACCTCATCAACCCGCACTGCAATACGATCTACATTATCAGCCAAAGCTTGCAATGCAAACACTATATCATCTCTCATCTCAGCATTTTTTTCTTCAAGTTTTTCCTCCAGTTTCTCCTCAAGTTTCTGTTCAAACTGTTTAACAGTGTCTTTTAAAGCATCTTGTAAATCCTTCAAGGTTAAAGCTGGCAGTGGAGGAGAGGGTGGAGGAGTAGGTTTTGTTTGCTGTGATATCTGTACAGCTGGAGAAGAAGAGCTCAAGCCTTTCTGAGGGGGAGGGAAAGTTCCCCCACGCTTTGAAGCCATTTTACTCTTCCCTTCTTCTCAAATTTAATTTAAATAATACAATGTCCATTAAAGTTGAAACTGCCACAAAAAGTCAGAAACAAATGTTTGTTCACCTACAGTACCAATAACTCAGAAGCAATAATAGACCAGCAGAAAGTAAAAACCAAAGTAAAAGTCCTCAGTAAGTGAAAGTCTCTATTAAAGAGCAAAACGCCCTTCTGCGGCCATTTTTCCCTCTTTTTTGTTCTCCTTCTTAGACTTTAAATCTTAATGGAGAAGTAGAAAAAACAGAGCTAAAGCTCTTGTCCGTGCCTCTCCCAAGCACCTGGTTCACTCTGTCTGCTCCAAAATTTACTCACGATCTCCTTTAAGCAGAGGATGAGTCCGTGTCTGGCTTCGTTCTAAGAACGGAGGCAGTCCAAAGCGCGGAGAAAAATCCCTGACTCCGGGGGAACTCACTTCCACCCCCACAGCTATAAAACTGTGGGAGCTCAGGAGCTCTACCCCTATCTGGGAAGCTCTCTCCCCTTCCCTTTGCCCGGGAAGGGGATTCAAGCCGCGGAGCAGCTGTTTGACGCTGCTCCTGCGGCTTTTACGCGTCCTCGGAGCAGGCGGCGAACGAAAACGCCGCCATCGGCACAGGAACTCAAACCGGAAGTCTCGAGAAACATTTTTAGTTGACAATATATTGATGTGCCATAATTTCCCTAAGATTCAGACTCTTCTGTTGTTAGCAATCTTGGCTGCATCAAAGGTTGGCCAGTTCCCAGGCCGGGCTAAAAAAAAAAATGCCTTGGCCTTTCTTAAAAATGCAGTTGAGTTGTGTCAATCTCTTCTCAGCCAAAACAGGAAAATATTATGAGAGACTTTGACTAAGCTTTGGCTAATTAAAGATACTTAGTTGGATTTCCCTTATCTACTAAGTAAGTCTATGAAAAATTAGATCAACTTTGTTTTGCCAGACTTGTTTACAACAGATGCATCCTGTGAATTCTAGCATGACAAGCCGAGTGCTCACAAACACACCTTTTATTAATCTTTTTGATATCACTCTAATTTTATTAATCTTTTTGATAGCACTCTAAGTTCCCAGATCCTCCTCCTTCCTTTTGAAGAGACAGAAACTTACTTTTCTTCAGAAACCTCACCACTCCTACAGGAGCTCAAAGAAATAACCAAGAGTGGTTCTGTGATCACCTCTGTTACTCCCTATTGGAATAAGTTGTTCACACTTCACATCATTTCTAAAGCTTTCTGTGCTTAATGGTTGTTCATATTTGCACTTCACAACACAAACACATCTTACCTTTTTCATTTCTTCATAAGAAAGGAAGAGAATATTGAAATCACTCTTATGAGCATACCAGCCTTCTACATGGTCTAGCCACGAACTACTAGGCACTGATAGGAGAGAAATGAATTTGGCATAAATATAAGTGCAGTCTTCAAAATCACTTGGTTCAGTTGTTCAGCTCAGGGCTGCAATGATCCAGCTTGCCATCTGTCTCGGGGATACATTCTTAATGCTTGAATTTCCTCCATCCTCATTTATCCTTATGATCCTGGTGGGCCTACAGATCAAAGCAAATAGGGGCTATCCTAATATCACTGAATGTGGAGAGGAGAGAGAAGGAATGGGAGCCATAACTAATATGGTTGTGTACTCCAACTTGTTAAGGGTTTTTTTTTTGTCAACTTGCTGCTATATTGTTTCATTTCTTTGCTTTTTCTTATTTGAAACTTTGGGGCAATCTGCTTTAATTTTTGTTATACTTCTTCAAATATCAGACTTACTCCGGTTAGTTATTTCTGTTTCCAACTCTTAAAACACTTTCTATGTGATTTCATGTGAGTATTTGGTTCTTTAACTCAGAGTTACCTAACTTTTCTGGCTTTGACCCCAACTGGCAGGGGAGAAGAGGGGATGGTTCTGTGTGAGCAGCCAGCAAGCACGAGC